GGGGGGGGGGGGGGGGGACTAAATGGCTTTATGGCTAAATGGATTTAATATATGTTGATGGCGATTTTGTCAATAATGTAAGATTTTCTGACTGTGGTAACAATTCAGTTGATGGAGGTGAAAATCAGTTTGAAAGCACCCTGTAATTTCAATTCATTCGTTCATTGAAGTGATTTTTTTGTGATGTTATTATTACTAAATAATGACATGTTTTTATATCTAACAGTATTGAGCAATATTAATGGGCAACAAAATAAACACACAATAAGCTGGCGAATATTACCGGACATGTTGAATAGATTAATCCAAAATAATGCTTGGTAAACAAGCTTTTATTTCTTCAGTTGTCCCTCAGTTCTTCAGCCTGTTTTGTCCCTGAAGACTCAAGCATAAGTGAGCGGCATGTCTGATGCAGTGGCTTCATAGTGCAACAGATACATGCTTGAATACTGATGAAGGAAAATATCCATTGCACAACTAGTTGAGTCAAAACTGATACTGGATCTTGCTTGAATGAAAATGCAGCTGCTGCCTGAGACATGATGGACCATGTAGTCCAGGGGTGCCCAAACTCGGTCCTGGAGGGCCGGTGTCCTGCAGAGTTTAGCTCCAACTTGCCTCAACACACCTGCCTTCAAGTTTCTAATATGCCTATAAGAGCTTGATTAGCTGGTTCAGGTGTGTTTAATTGGGTTTGGAGCTAAACTCTGCAGGACACCAGCCCTCCAGGACCGAGTTTGGGCACCCCTGATGTAGTCCAAACATACACACCAACGCTCATTACCTCCCTTAAAATAGTCCTGAGGAAACAAACTATAAAAATGTTGAAAAATTGGAGCAAATCAGACTGCGCTGATTTCTAGTCTGCAAATGATTTGAAGATACTTTATTGGAAAGGAGAAATTCTTACCCAGCTTCCCCCGCGACTCCTCGAGGTTCTGAATTTGGTTTTCCAAAAAGATCATCACAATGGCGAAGGCCAACAGAGCCACGAGCTGAAACTTCGGCGGCATCTTTAACCTTAAAAACCCCATCAAAAAATCCAGCACAGAGAGGACATGCCGTGACCGAGAACTTTATGACACTCAGTTCATGGATGCAGCGAGCAGTGCTGCTATTTCATGATTCCCAGAGTCGAATATAAACACACACACAGCAAACTACACTACAACGGGCACTTATAACCGCCACAAAAACAGTTCCGCATAAAATGTATGCGTATTGAATCCGAACAGCTCAGACTATCCTTCACTTGAGTAGCAGCTGGAGTGGACGTTCAGTTGTTGTTCAATCCTAGGAAGTGTACTAGGCACGTTGTGTCAGTGCGCATGCGCGTTTGTGGCTCAGCTGTCGCTCTATGACTGGAGAATCTCACTTCACTCAAATACGACTCCTCTACATTCACTCTTCTGACAACACCACATAATATTTACCGTCAGTGACCATGTACAAATATTTTCTATCATTTTCAAAAATATTTATAGCATCCAATTAAGCAAAAGATCACATAAAATCACCTTGTTTCCAGTTCTGCAATGGCACATAACAGAATTTCCATGCCATGAAAGCTTGTTGATAATATTTAGAAAGAACAATACTATGGGGTAAAAAAATGTATTCAATTAGATTTGTCCAAACAATTCCTAAGCCAATGTACTTTTGAAGTGATGATGATGAATGCATGACAAGTCTAGACACTTTTTGAGCTTAGTTAAAAAGACTGCCTATTATTGTTAAATCTCTTTGTTGCCAATTGTTAAAACAGTGTGATCTTTCTTTAAATCAAGGGTGAAGGTGATATTTTTCTCAAATAGCTTTTTGGTTATGGTAAGACTTTTATTAATAAGCTCAATGTGTGTGTGTGTGTGTGTGTGTGTGCATGTTTATGTGGTTTATGAGGACACAAATTTGTATAATAACATGGGTATGACATAGGTATTACAACGAGAAGGTGATTTATGAGGACCTTTTCAGTGTCCCCGTAATTCAAAAGGCTTATAAATAATTCAGAATGAGTTTTTTTGAAAATCTGAAAATGCAGAAAGTTTCCTGTGAGGGGTAGGTTTAGGGGTACTGTTGGTGTAGGGCAATAGAAAATACGGTCTGTACGGGTGTGTGTGTGTGTGTGTGTGTGTGTGTGTGTTGTGTGTGTTGTGACGCACTTCCTGCTGAACTCACTCAGTGGAAGAGAAACACTCATGGCGGTGGAGGTGTACTTGCTTTGGTTATTGCCGTTATTACAAACGGTAGGTGAATAAACCATATCTGTACATTTTCTTCTTTGAAAGAAGACACTCAACAATGACCAGTAATCCACGTGATTATGGAAAATATGGACTATTTACGTTCAAGGCGCTGGTTAGCCGCTCGCTAATGTTAGCTACTGACGTGGCTCATCCGGCTGATAGTGTAAATAATGGTTTGCAAATCTACGTTATATAATATCGCAGATTTCATTTCTAACCGTGACATTAACTAACTTTGCACCTACTGCAAAAAGTTTGAGGCAATGATTTTCATATGATCCGTAATGATTAAGTTCTAAAACTGTTAGCTAACTTAGTTTACCTGCAAAAAAAATGAACTTGTAGATATACGTAACTTAAAACGTAAAATAAACATTACAGTTATGTAAAATATGTTTCCCCTTTATGTTTACGCAAGTGGAGGTGTGATTTATTTGCTGTTTTGTGGATTTTCCGAGAGTAGCTGATAGTGCTCGCAACAAGGAAGCAAATTCACGAAGTGCTGTTCCATTATCTTGTGTGGAGAGGGAATACGATTACATACATCAATGCCGTACTATAAGGGCTTGATTAAACCTAGAAAGGACAATGTTATGGGGTATAAAAAATCCAATTCAATCAGATTTCAGGTCCAAACAATTCTTAAGTCATTGCAATTCAATTATAAATTCTCAAACAGTGTTATTTTAGTATCATAGAGATATTTGTTATTATAGTTTTTTTTTAGATGTTTTGAAAAGTTTTTGTTTTTATAGTTTCCATTTGAATTGTAACTTAAGTTCAATTTTTTTTTATTTTATTTTATATACTGTGTGTATATATATATATATATATATATAATTTTTATTAATTTTTTTACATCAAAGTTAAACTAATGTTGCCTTGGCAACTAGCTGAAATAATAAAAAAATCGCATTTCTATATTTTATTTTTATTTCAGCTAAGGTTTATTTTATTTCAACAATTTTTTTATGGTTTTCACTTTACTTCAGTTTCCGTTAACTATAATAACACTGGTCTCAAAAGTTAAAATCTCCCTTCATTCCAAAAGAATTCAACACATTTTAAATGATTGTGCTTATTCTTAAAGGGAAACGTATAAGCTATACTGTTTATTGATTTATTCAGTTATATTGTTTGTAACTAGGAGGCGAGATGTCAACCACCAGCTATAAACAGAATAGTCTTGTTATCATTGCTGTGTAGCCAATGCTTGCAAATTCCTGCACCTGTGCTTTACCCTCAATTTGCCTTGTTCTTTGACGTTGCCTTTGAGGGTAGTTAGAAACAAAGATGCTCTCAGAAAACAGCTGAGAATTTCCAATAGGTTTGAGATGTTGACTTAAAGGTCAACTGGTGTAAGGGCTTAGAGAATTGCAGCTACTGCTTGTTTCATGTGTAATATTAATGTGGATAAAATCTTCCTGACTTAGCTGGCGTCTTATGGAGCGGAGCTCTCCTCTGAGGCCTGCAGGGAGATGGGCTTCTCCAGCAATCTCCTGTGCAGCTCCTGTGATCTCCTGGGTCAGTTCAGCCTAGGCCAGTTAGACCTGCCCTGCAGGCAGTGCTGCCAAGAGGAGGCTCAGCTGGAGTCAAGAATGGTGAGTTCAGCTTCTGTGCCAAATCACAAAGTCATTTTCTTACAGTGAACATGGAGCGCTGGAGCTTTAATGAAGCTTTCCTGCAGTTTTACCCACCAAACAATAAAAAATGTGCACAGCTTTTTGTCAAAGCACAAATATTTAGATACAATCCATAGGCCACAGTCTTGATTATTTGGTGTCATGTCACTTGACTTTAATTAAGTCATCATTATTACAAAGACCAGTATATTTATTTATTAGCTTTGTCAATGTGAAAATCTGTTTGTACCCATATTAATGTGTATTTGTCTTTTTTTTTTGGCAGCTCTATCCAGGAGCCATCCTTGAGGTCTGTGGATGAAAATTGGGGAGGTTCCCTCAAGTCCAAGGTAGGTTGAGGATTTGGCCTCAGATATGACTAATTTATACTTTATTATTCTTGTGCTGCTTGATGATTATACAAAAATGGCATAGAAATTTTGCAAAATAAACCAAGGTAATATGAAATGCTTTAAAGGGTGTTTTTCTTGTAGCAGCTGTTACAGCAGTTCAGCTGTTGTTGTGTGGAACAGACTACTAGAGTGTTTACTTTTGCACTCCTGTTGCAAAACAGTAATTTTTGTGACTGTATTTCCCTTCAGCTTTTGTCAGGAGTGACAAGCCAAAGATGTTCAGGGGTCTTCAGATCAAGGTAAAGATTTTTTTCCCCTAAAATATTTTTGGTAATAGTTATTAGTAGTTAAAAACAATTAGTAAATCATAAAGGCAATAAACATGGGCATGGACATACACTACTGTTCAAAAGTCTGTAGTTAAAAAGAAAAAAGAAATTATCACTTGTTATTAAGAAATTAATACTGTCATTCAGCAAGGATACATTAAATCAATTAAAAGTCACAGTAAAGATGAACAAATTCTGTTTCAAATATGCTGTTGTTTTGAATTTAGATTAATCAAATAAATGTTTCTTGAGCAGCAAATCAGCATATTAGAATGATTTCTGAAGAATCATGTGACACTGAAGACTGGAGTAATGATGCTGAAAATTCAGCTTTGCCATCACAGAAATTACATTTTAAAATATATTAAAATCAAATACATTTGATTTGTAATAATTGTAAATTGTTATAATATTTCACAATATTACAATTTTTTTATGTGTTTTGTCTTTCAAAAAAAAAAAGAAATCTCACCGACCACAAACATTTGAGCGGTAGTGTATGTGTATATATAAAATGCTATTACTTAGTACAAAATATTAACATTTGTCTAGAAAGATTGTATTGCTTGTATACTTGGTTAATTCTAGATGTTCTTTTTGCATTCATTCCAGTATGTCAGAGGCTCAGACCCTGTACTAAAGCTGCTGGACGATTACGGGAACATTGCGGACGAGCTCAGCATCCTCAAGTGGAATACAGACAGTGTGGAAGAATTTCTTAGTGAGAAGTTAGAACGAATTTAGACTCACAGTTTCATATTTAAAGTCAGATTTTCAACTGAATCAAAGGACAATAAATTTTTGTGCTTAATAATGGACATTAAAAACATACTTTTTTTTTTTTTGGTCTCTGAAAGTAAACATCAGTTTGTGGTTTGAGTTTAAGTGATCAGGACATACTGTACTTATTTTTATGATTTTTCCGCTGCATATTGTTGAATCGTTGATATGCTGTGGCCTTTTATACGTCTTGTGTCTGAGTGAAGCCTGTTGAATGTGCTGGTTTGGTAAAGCTTGTGGCGACTCCTCAGAAGCACGTGTTTATGTGGATTTGCACATTAGTGAAGGCTTGACAGTAAACCAGTCCCTGGAATGTGAGGCCTGAAGACCCTGTGTAAGTCTCTGAGCATGTTGTTATGGCGGGAACCTTCGAGCTCTACTCCAGTATGAGAAGGTGCAATCTCTTCATTTAAATGTTTAAAAAAATGAATTGAAACTCAATTTCATTAGTGCACAGACAAATAAACCTGTTTTTCATATGAATGTTTTTGACTTTTTCCCCATAGCATTTCATAGTTAAATGTGTAAATGGTTTAAGCGATATGACTGTTAATGACAAAAAAAGAGAGAAAACTAGATTTAATACTTAAATTTCATCCGTTTGTTTTCTTCAATTTCAGGGCATTTTGGGAGGTGTTTTGGCATGTATTTCATTTATAATCTACACTAATAAATACCAAACTGTTAGTTGACTAAATTTTATTACAGTTTAAGAGTTCATTGGCATAATTATTTATGGCAAACCTACAACGCATTGTTCCAGCTTCGAATTTACAAGCATTTTGAGCAGCTCATATAATCTGTGATATGTATATTTTCACCACTAGATGTCAGCAGACATTTTGGTTGTACTCACTGTCTGGACAAATTGTTGGATGAGTTTCAAAGATAGTGTCTAAACAAGAAAACAGTATAATCTAAGGATAAATGAATCGTAATTTTAATAGTAATTTCATTTTCACAAATGTGAACAAAAATGTAAGGTCATTACAATAGAAAGTAGTTTTTTTATTTTTTTTTACAGTGAATACATTTGCTTTGTTTTAATGTCAGGGTATTTTTTTTATTTTGTTTTATCACAAAAATCTATTAAATAATCCAAATTCAATATACAGTAAGTTACATACTGTAGTTTTTTTTTTTGAATGTTCTTGAAAGCATTCTCTTGCACAGAGGCTTTGGTTAAAAATTATTTTATTTAAAAAGTAAAAGCAATTGTGTGAGTTACTGTTACAATTCAAAGCAACTGATTTCAATTTTAATACATTTTAAAATGTAATTTATTTCTGTGATGGCAAAGCTGAATTTTCAGCATCATTACTCCAGTCTTCAGTGTCACATGATCCTTCAGAAATCATTCTAGCGGTATATATGCTGATTTGCTGCTCAATAAACATTTATTATCGTCGATGTTGAAAACAACTGCTGCTTAATACCGTAGTTTAAACTGTGATACATTTTTTAGGCTCAAAGAAGAGCATTTATTTGAAATCGAAATATTTTGTAACATCATAAATGTATTCACTGTTACTTTTGATATTTTGATCAATTTAATGCATCCTTGCTGAATAAAAAGATTGAATTTCTTTAAAAAAAAAAAATACTAGCCCCAAACTTTTGAACAGTAGTGTAAATTTCTTATAAATATTTAAAGTAAATGTGTATAGTCTGCAGATGTCTGCTGGCGCGCGGATAGCTCTGAATCACTGATTAATGCCGCATGTCTGGCACGTGATGCTCTTCTTCTCAGATTCACACGTGTTTACAGTCGTTCTTTTTTTAATTAGCTCTAACATCGTTACTCATCAGTTAGCATTGAAAAGACGAGCACATTTTGATAGTCTGGTCTTGGGCAAATTGCTGTGTCATTCATCCATTTCCAGAATGTCCCGTAACTTCTTTGCTGTCTAAATCAAAGTCCTAAATCTGACATTCAAAAAGGATTCACCATAACAGTTCACAGCACACCCTTGTGGAATGTAACTGACAGCGAGAGCTTGCTGATCGACTTCTTCCTGTTTCCCACCTGCGTTGAGACATGGGACAAAACAGGTCCAGCAAGGGTAATTGCTATTAGGTTTAAAAAGAAAAAATATTTTCAATTTGAAATGTCATGAGGGATTAATAATAGAATATATTTAACACAATTATCACCTTCAATTTAATGTTCTCATTATTATACCAAATCTATGTTTCTTAATGTCCTCTCACCACATCTAAAACTGTGTGTCCACAGAGAAGGGTTCAATCATGAAAAAAAAAAAGAAGCACATTTTGTTAAAAAAAGAGAAAAGTTGGGAGATTGGATCAAAGCATAGCTCAGTAGCTTAGTACATATAAGATACATAAATGTAGTTTCATTTGTCTGAGTACAAGGTTTTATTTTTTCAATTTTGCACCCTGTTTTGTCCCACTTCTCAAGAATGACTGGTATATGAAAAATTATTCTGAAGGTTGGTTGAGGTAAGCACACGGTGTTAAAATATCTAGAATATCTAAAAACGACTAAATCAATGAAATGAAGAATAGCTTCACCTGTAAGCATTAGACATCCTAATTTAAAAACATTTGAGAAACTTTAACGTTATCAAGTCCTTCCAAACACTGAAAGTCATCGATGGTAGGTAAATTATGTTATAAAAGTTGCCCCAAAAGCATACACAAAAACAATGCTATCTGTGACGAATTATTATTGTGCATGGGAAAACGACTTATTTTCAAGTTTTTTCTTTCTTTCTTTCTCTCAGGTTGAGTAAAACCATACAAGCCCTCCCGGGGTCCAGGGGCAGTCGTTGTGGCAGATCCCTTGCCAAGCACAGAACTGCAGACACTCCTGATGAATTCCATATGCGCTCTTGAAACAATCACAGCACATTATTTCTTCCATTCCATTATTATCTATCCCCCTTTCATCCAAAACAATAACATATACAAGCACACACACTCGTGGATGACGATCTTTCTGTAAACATTCAGAGAACATTCTGTGGGGTATTCCTGGAAATATTTCAATCATCATAATCGATCTATAATCGTTTATGTTGCGAGCAATAATTTATTACGCCTACTTTGGAATACTCGATTCTGATTGGTCAATCGCGGCATTTGCGCTGATACATTTTAATATGCAAACACAACTGGCTCCATCTCCATTATCCATTGTACTGAAAATGCACTTCAGTATTAATATTACTGTAGTTTCATTGCTTGTCTTGTTAAAGTTGGATTACTTTTTTCTTAGCAGAAATTTTTAAATAAAATACAGGTAAGATCATTTCAACTCAAATAATTATTTCTTGTCCACTATGTTTAGTCGAAATAATATGCAGTCAGTCGGTTATTATTAATGTTGCAGTTTCCTTTGAATGTGGCAGACTTCTGATTCATTAGACCAAGGTAACTTAACTAAGAATAACAACGTGCAGTAAGCGCACTACAAACCAGTGTGTTTATGATTATGATAATTAATTTAAATAATATGATAAGAAATACAACTTTGCAATCTCAAGCAGCATAACGGACTGTTTTTTTGTACAATACCTGGAAGCGAAAGACACCGGAAGTCTCGCACATTAAGTTACAAATGCTTGCTCTTACGTTAAAAAAGGTGGATACTGCAACCTTCATAAGTTTTGAATATTAAGTAGCACAACTGTTCAACACTGATACCAATAAGAAGCATATTAGATTGATTTCTAAAGGGTCATGTGACACCGAAGTAGACTGTGACTGCTAAAAATTCAGCTTTGCCATCACAGGAATAAATGTCATTTTATTTTGATCAAATAAATGCAGCCTTGGTGAGCATAAGAGACTTATTTCAAAAACATTGTACATAAATAACTCAGTTTATTATCATACCTGGAAAATGTTTGTGCTTATACACACTGAATGGAAGTTTCATATAAACAGAGCTCTTTCCACCCCAACTGCTCATTGCACTTTTGTCCTAAACGTGGAAAATGCACAACACAGCCAACACTCGGAGGGGGTTTCTCTCAGCGGGACATATTAGGATAAAGCTACACAAGAGCAACAAGTCACTCCAACTGATTTTGGCAAAATATCAACACCCCTTTGACCTCTCTACAATGTGCTGTGAGCATAACCCGAAGACGACCTTTGTTCAAAACATCAAGTGGGGCTGACTATATGCACTGATTCTCATTTTTGCCAAAAGTTTTTCCTGACAAAGCCTTGCTTGTGTCTGCCAGTGTCCGTCTAAGTGATGCAGATGCACGGGATAAAAGCTTTTTTGTACTCAGTATTGCTGAATAAGAAATTCTGACTCTCTCATCCCTCACTATTCCTGTTTCTCCGTCCATCTCTGTATTTCATTGGAGCGTTTCAGCCTCCTCGCTGGGCTGCTGTTTCAGTAGACACTTCTTTCCTGCATGAGGGCTCGTCGGTGTCATATGATCAGCGAGGCTGCTTTTATGAGGAATGTGGAATGAAACAAAGCAAATGAGGCTTTCTGTTTCTTGAACGTTCTCATTTATCCCAATCCACTCTTATAGTTCAATTTAGGTCTTGCTTTCCTTTCTATCCCGATCGTGACCTCATGCACATTTATTTCTTGTTATGTCACATTTATGTCCTCAGATTTGAGGTCCTATTTGTTTCGTTCCAGTTGTGGGAACGGTTCGACACTGAGATCTAACTGAAATCCCTTTGTATAATGAGAGCAAGAGATTTTGTGGATGTGCCAGTGCTCAACTAGTTTTTATGAAGGGTGGTGGGAACTTGACCTACATAGTGTTTTGGATTGGTTGCAGATGCTGCCTGTTGAAAAGGGAACCTGCAGTTGATTCAGCAAACGCTGAAGATCCACCAAGCTTTATCCATCAGACATTTAAATGAATCCCAAACTCATTATTGATATTGATTGTTCAATATTGAGGAAGCAAATGTGTCCTGAAGCATTTCATATAGCACAGCATATATGTACACAGTTAAGCTGTATCATATTATGAGGTTTTTCTTTGACTAAAATGGCACATTTTACCGACTTTATTCAAAGTACTCTAGGGATACACAGAAGCAGATTGGTGTGAAGAATCAAAGCAGTCAGTTGGCGTAGCTCTGGGTCATTCTGTTTTGAACAGTGTTCTGAGATCACTGATATATTCTGAGCTTCACTACAGCTTCACCACAACTTGTGGCCCAGAAGGTGGAATAAAAATTTAGCAAAGGAGAACACTGCTCTTTATGGATGAAAATATTGTTCTTTTCTCCAAGTGCATGACTCAGTGAGAAACTACACTTTTCCACTTTTGCGGTTTTCCAGCGGATTTGCCACTCAGACCTTCTTGCATGAATACATTTTCCATTGATTTAAATCACATGAGCATGACTGTAGTTGTGGCATGCACTTCAAACTAATTTGTAGTTTATCTTAATAATCATATACATTGCCCTGTATGTAAGGCTTATATTTGGATCATTCATATATATATATATATATATAATATGGTTCATTTCTATCTATCGATCTATCTATCTATCTATCTATCTATCTATCTATCTATCTATCTATCTATACATTGTAAATGCGCCTTTTCCT